TGGATTGCCAGCGACAGCGCTTTGAAGTTTCCAGGGTAGCCATGCCCTAAGGCTTTGTCTACACTGGGAAGTGAAAGACAAAACTTCTGCTGTTCAGAGGAGTTTTTAAAAAACCGCCCCCGAAAGACAAAAGTTTTACCAGGTGTGAGCAGCACTTTGTCGGCAAGAGACAAAGCTAATGCCACTCGTTGGGGGTGGAAGTTTTTTGTCAGCAGGAGAGCTCTCTTCTGCCGACAAACAGCGCTTTTCGCAGCACTTTTCGCATACACTAAAAGCTGCACAGTGTAGCCATCGCCTTGGAGACCAAGACACAGTGGACCAACGCATCACAAGATCCAATGGCTGCAAGTTGGTGTTAGAGCATTTTAAATAAGAGGCAGTTTTTAACCGTGAGGGTATTGTCACATCACTTTTATAGGCTAGAGTAGTTAGTCGTTGGAACAGATTATCAGGGGATGTGGTAAATTCTCCATCACATGGAGCATTTAAATGATTACTTATTTGTTTTACTGTAGCACCCAGGAGCCCCAGACATTGAACAAGACCCCATCATGCTAGGCCCTGTGTCAATAGTTGATATCATTCTACAAATTACGCCCTGGTTTTCAACCCCAAGTTATTGGGACTCATAAACTTTAAGGCCAGAAAGGACCAACATGATCATCTAGTCTGACCTCCTGCATGCTGCAGGCCACAGAATCTCACCCACCCACTCCTGTAATAGGCCCATAACCTCTGGCTGAGTTACTGAAGTCCTCAAATCTTTATTTCAAGACTTCAAGTGACAGAGAATCCATTTACTCTAGTTCAGACCCGCAAGTGACCCATGCCCCACATTGCAGAGGGAAGTGAAAAACCCGCGGGGTCTCTGCCAGTCTGACCTGGAGGAAAATTCCTTTCCAATCCCAGATATGGCAATCAGTTAAACCCTGAGCATGTGGGCAAGACCTACCAGCCAGACACCTTGGAAAGAATTGTCAATAGTAACTCAAAGCCCTGCCTATCTTGTGTCTCATCTCCGACTGTTGGAGATAAGTGCTAATAGCAGTCATGGATGGGCCATTTGCCTTTGTAGGCAATTTCATCATTCCATCCCCTCCATAAATTTATCAAGATCAGTCTTAAAGCTAGTTAGATTTTCTGCCCCCACTACTCCCCTTGGAAGGCTGCTCCAGAATTTCACTCTGATGGTTAAAAGAAAAGGAGGACTTGTGGCACCTTAGAGACTAACCAATTTGTTTGAGCATAAGCTTTCGTGAGCTATAGCTCACTTCATCGGATGTGAGCTGTAGCTCACGAAAGCTTATGCTCAGATAACTTGGTTAGTTTCTAAGGTGCCACAAGTCCTCCTTTTCTTTTTGCGAATACAGACTAACACGGCTGCTACTCTGAAACTCTGATGGTTAGAAACCTTCATCTAATTTCAAACCTAAACTTACTGATGGCCAGTTTCTATCCATTTGTTCTTGTGCCAAAATTGGCCCTTAATTTAAATGACTCCTCTCCCTCCCTGGTGTTTATCTGTCTGATGTATTTATAGTGTGCATTTACATTAGGAAGGAATATTTCCCTCCCCTACAGGAATCACTAGATGAAATTCCCTGACTTCAATTGTCAGTGAAGATTGCCCTGTATATACACGGTTTTGCCAGAGGTCGGACAAGATGATCGTAGTGTTTTCCTTTGACCTTCAAGCTATGAAAGAGTTTTGTCAGTACGAATTTAATAGGGTCACGTTATTCATGAAAGGTGAAGCCGTGGCTGATGGATGCAAATAACCTCCAGCAAGTGCTGATAAAAACTTTGCATCTCCCCAGCATGAATTGCATACTTGCCACACGTGTGGCAGGAAAAAAACAATTTTAGCTGTATACCTTGTTTAGCAACATTTTGATTAACACATAAGTAGAGTATGAAAATAAGTAGGTTCCATCTCCTCCTTGTATAGGTTGGCTCCCAAATGGCCTGATCCAGAGCTCATTGAAGTCAAAAGGTGTCTCCCCATTGACTTTAGTGGGCTTTGGGGCAAATATTATCGCAAGTCCACCTGGACAGGCTTTGGAGGAAGAGAGAAGCATTTTAAAACCTCTAGAAATTGCCTAAAACCACTTTTCCATGCATAACAATTATATGGATCTTCAGTACAGCATCTCAGGACCTCGCCAGGTGAAAGCCCTGTGCTGTGTATCCCATAGGGAAGATGGGAAATCTTTCCAAAGTGTCTTAGCACCTATTTCTAGCCCTGACGGCTTATGGGCTGTCTAGTTATACCTGTCACTGATGCATAACTGAACACAATGCTGCAGGCCTCAGATCACTGTATTCTTGGGGCAAAATTCTTTCTTGGGGAAAGGAGGAAACATTTTTTCTGACAGGCTGCTTTCATAGATTATAAGACCAGAAGAGCCCATTGTGATCATCTAGTCTTACCTCCTGTACAGCACAGGCCATAGGGCTTCTCTGTATTAATTCCTGTTTGAACTAAAGCGTATCTTTTTAGAAAAACATCCAGTCTTGATTTTAAAATGTCCAGTGGTGGAGAATCCACCACAACTCTTGGTAAACTACCCTAGCTATTAAAAATGTGCACCTTATTTCTAGTCTGAATTTGTCTAGCTTCAGCTTCCAGCCATTGGATTTGTTTTACCTTCGTCTTTTTATGAAAGCTTAATGCACATTAGAAGCTGCTCAGAGCTTCGGAATGACATAAGCAGTCCCAAGGGAGATGGGTTTGTGGACAGAGTGCAGGTGAGGTGGTAAGATGTCTGACGAAAAGTGCAAGCTATCACATGGATATCCATTATAGCTATATCTTATCTCTGTATAGCTCAAAATCTGTTTACTGAAGGATGTAGGCAGTGGTTCTTTCTGTTCCTTGCATTTCAAACAAGAACAAATGAACTGTAATGTAAGTATTAGATGCAGACGTTTAAACTAAGCTCAAAACAAAAATGTTCTCCTTTAGGAAGCCATCCAGTACTTTTGTCTTGTATTTTATATTGGATTCCATCTTGGTCCAGAGTTTCAGATAATATGTCCTGTGGTTGTGAATACATTGTAAGTACCTAGGTTGATAGGCCCAGAGTTCTAGATGTTAAGAGGTCCTGTTGTGAAACCATCTATTTTCCATGGGTAGAATTCTGATGTCTTTATCTTTGGCCCTACTGGTCACAACTTCGTGGGAATTAAATATGAGCCTCTGAGAACTGAGCTTTGTAGCTAATGTTAAAAGTTGGAAAATTGTATTTTAATGAATCTAAAAGCGGAGGTTACAAGAAGATATTCTCAGTTGTTTTCGTTGCAATCTCAAATAATCCCACTTTAAAGCTGCATTTAAAAATTTCCATTTACCCCAGTAAAAACAAAGATAAAGCTTTGATTATAACTTCCAAAGGGAGTTGAGGTTGCTTTTCGGCTTTCTGGTTGTTCAAAGCATTGTTGTTTGCTTTCTCCTTATTGATCTGAGGTATCAAAGGTGCTGATGCAGTCTTGGCAAATTGATTGTGGAGTTAGGCTCTTGGGTAGCATGAGTGAAAAAGTTTGGTCTGTTTCACATCAGTAATATTTACTGAAGAAATATGCCCTGGCAGTGGTTTTCTGAGTTCCTTTTACTACTATCAGAAACATGTTTTACTAAGTGCTTTTTTTCTTTACAATCCAGTTCCACCTTCTGGGACATTGGATATAACCACAGCCTTTTCCTAACCTTTGGGGAATTGTTCTATGCCACATCATGGGTGACTCTTGAACAGGATTGCTAGAGGGAAATGGCTGCAGTATCTATCGATCCATCTATCATTGTTATTATTTGCATTCTGTATGAAATTCTGATTTTTTTTTCATTCAAAATCAGAACAAAACCTGAAAATTTTGAAATTTCCAGGGAAACAAATTCCGAAAAAGTTCAATTCAGGATCTTCAAGATATCTTGTTTCAATAGTGTCAAAACACTTATTCTAATTTAGTTTTTATATTTATATTAAAAATTAAATATAACATCTATAAATTAAATATAATCAGTATAGAACACATTAAAAACAATATTTTAATATATGTCAAAACAAATTGAGTTGAATTGATCGCATCAAAGTGAAACATTTCCACAGTGAAATGAAACGTTCTATCAAAATTTTGTTGAAATCAACTTATTCCCGCGAAACATTTCAGTTTCGTTGAAACCGCAGAAGCAGTAGGAAAGTCCTAAATGGACTTCATGGAGTCTCTTGCATGTCTCTCTGTTTTGGGAGGGGTTAAAAAAATCTTCTTGGGCATAATTTACTCCTTCCACCCAATGCATCCACAGCATCAACCATAATTTTGCACCTGTGTGGGTGGCAGTTTCAGTGGCATGAGGGATGGGGGAATTACAAAGGAACAGAAGCAGTCGCATCTTGTGCACAGTTTGCTGTGTTCAGATCAGGTACTTTAATTTGGAGGGGGAGCAAGAGATTTAATCTGAGAATCTCTAGTGTTTCCATCTATAAAATCCACTGTTCACTATTAACCCAGATTTGTCTCAGTCCTACACAGATCTGGCCTGTGTCTCCCTGTCAATTCCAGAAAATGTTTGATGCCACAAATGCTGCATCTTGAAACTGAGGTTATTGAAAATTGTGTTTAAAGAAAATAATCCCATATTATTTCACTCTTTCCTCTCCGTTTGTGAGAATTAAATCCCTCATTCTAGGTCTTCAGCACATATTTTTAGGATAAAGTGTAGTTTTGGGTGCCAACCTCCATTTAGAGCAGTATATAGTACACTAATGTGGGGGTGGTCTCAGGGATCTAAACAGTCTTTTTCACCTCTAACTTGTGTAATCCTCTGATCCAGGTTTCGGATTTGATTGAGAGAGTTGGAAAACTGGATAGAGCTGGTTGCTCACAAGGTAGCCATGAATCATGCCCTGCATTGGGTTTCTCTGCAGACTTTCCATACAGCACAGACAAAGTAGTCCCTAAACGTTCTAATATGGTCACCTCTTTCTCTTCTCTTTCTGTAGGTTGTGGAATGATGTGGGACAACATAACCTGCTGGCCCTCAGCAGCAGTGGGAGAAGTTGTGGTGATGCCATGTCCAATATATTTTATCTACTTCTCCACTTCTCTGGGTAAGTGAAACTAGACAGTTCGTTTACTATAAATGTCACTTGGTGTTTTCTAATTTGATTCACTCCACCTTCCTTCTGGTGAACTAAGAAAAGGAGGACTTGTGGCGCCTTAGAGACTAACAAATTTATTTGAGCATCAGCTTTCTGTTTGAAAAGTAAAGTTGAAACACTCCATGATGGCTGTTCAGAGGTAATGGACATGTGCTACTCCCCATTGACGTCAGCTGGAGTTCTGGGTGCTCAGCCCGTCTGAAAATGAGACATTATAGCCAATCGAGGGCTGTAATGCTTTTAATCTAAGAGAGGTTATTGGTAACTGGGTGGAGTTTAATAGCCAAGGACACGGAGGAGGTCAGGCTAGCTGACCTGGTGGTCCCTTCTGGCCTTAAACTCTATGATTCTTTATCCGGTAGAAGTGGGTAAGTAGTTGAGTAGCTAACCTGCTTGACTACACCCTTGTATCTATCTCCTCACTGGTATGCCCAAATCCCCAGCCTACCGACATGGATTCACACTTATTATTTTTCATTGTTTCTTTACATTACAGTAGAGACCAGAGACACCAGTCACAGCTGGCATCCTATTTTGCTAGGTCCTATATAAAACATACAAAGACAGAGTCCCTGCACCTTGCACTCCATGTGTGGGATTATCTCTGAACATTGGCCTAACTCTGCTCCCATTGAAGTCAATGTGAGTTTAACCAGTGACTTCAACGAGAACGGAGTTAGGCCAATGCTGTTCACTTTGAAGATTCCACTCTACGAAGTTGCATACAAAGAGGAGCTAGTAGAAAAATGTTCCCCCCCCCCCCATAGAAAATTTTGACAAAAATGGGAAAAAATAGTTTCCCTCTAAATTAAATTTTCCACAGAAAACGTTGAGGGTTTTTTTGTTTGTTGGGGGAGGGGGAGTTAAGTGAAAATTTGAAAACCAAAAAATTCTATCCAAAAACTGAACAACTTCAATTCGGAAATATTGCTGTAGTACTTCATGAGAGTTGTAGCCTGGGTACCTCATGCTCCCATTATCCTCTTGAGCCCAGAGTCCCTGGTCAGACTTCATCTCCCATGGTGCTCCACAATCTTCTCTCGTGGAGGGGGAGGCAATGGATCATGTGAGTTCTTGGCAATAATGCATCATGGGAGAGGTAGTCCCGCCAAGGAGCCTGGCCCAGAGAAGAGGTGGGGGACATGAGACAGTTGAACTACAACTTCCAGAAGACACTGCAGCAGCATATTCATATCAAAATATTTCTGGTTTTGAAAGAAATATTTGGGCTTTAAACATTTGGTTTTTTGACTAAAATCTTAATTCTCCACAGAAAGCAGATGCCTTTTGTGAAAATTGTGTTTAATTGAAAACCCAGCTTTCCATTGAAAAGCCCTTTTTCTGAAAATTTTTCAACCAGCCTGTGACAGAGTGGGAGTAGTTTATGGCTGGCTCACCACTCTGTGTACTTTGTATGCATTCCCACCTGGGCCAAATAGGGACATAGTTGATTAGGTCTGGGTGATAAACTAGTTAACAAGCTTATTCAGCTCATCAGCTGGGGATTGTTAATTGGGAGACAGGGAGGCAGAGAGGGAAGCTGGGAGGAAGGGCAAAGAAGACCAGAATCTCAGGGAGGTGAGACCTCCCTTCCCCTTTACCTCCCCACCCAGCACCTAGCACGTACGTTGAAGCTTAAGGAAAGCCTTATGGTGATGGGCCGTGAAGCTGCATAAGACGTAAATAAAGTACACTGTGGTGAACTTACATAAGAAAGCATGAGGACTGCCTGAAAAGAGGAATCCAGTGTATAGGAGCCCATCCTGTGACAAAGCCCTGACACAAAGGTTCGATAATGGTCTAGAGAGGATGCATACTTTGAAATACACACAAGTTGTAGACATACTTGCAATCCCTCCCCAGACTCCCCCCACCATCATTGTAAACAAATGAAGTAAGTGCCAACTGTCCCAGCTGCCCCTCAGACAGTTAATAGCCTGATTTCGCAGCGACGTTGTGGCAGGGAGGAGAGAGTTGAAGGAGGAGTGGCCTGCCAGGTTGGGCATTCCTGTGTGAGGGCCAGTGTGGAAGAAGGCACAGTGGGAGTTGTTGGTGCACAAAGTTGACAAATGAGCAGCTATGACTGGCACCATTGCTGGATCCGAGACAGTACTGAGGAGGATGCAGTCAGAGGCAAGAGTGGACAGTTAGAGTTGATGACAGGCCTTGAAGGTGAGGATGAGAAACTTGACCTTGATGCAATGAAACTTAGGAGCTTCTGCAGGGGCTCAAAGGAGGTGATGTGCTTGCAGTAACACCTAGGCAAGATCATCTTAGCAGCTGTAGTTTATATGGATTGGAGGCTGGTGGGTGATATACATACAATCACTGAGCCAGATTCTGCTCTCTGTTTCTCTAGGAACTGCACTGACATCAGTGAGGAGAACTGGGCCACTGTTTCCAAACAGTAATAGTTCAAAGAATGCTGTAACTGCAGCAACCATTTGCAAAGATTGGGTTTTTTTCCACTATCTGGGGACTTAGGTACTCAGATGTCGTGGTGGCGGGCGCCTGTATACGAACTTATATTGTCAGAGAAATCTGCATGTCTATAGATAACATAATTTCAAGATGGTACCAGCTATTGATTTGGAAGAAGGGTCAGGTAGATGCTGGGATACTGCGCTGTTGGATGCTAATTTAAGGACATGCGTAAATAGGTGGGGAAATTCCTGATTTCCATTAACTAACTCCTATGTCTGTGTTTTGGGGTAATGGGACTTTTCTGGATCCAACTCTGCCTGGCTGCAGCATAAATGTCATTGCATCACTAGGACGACGTCTCTCTACTGAAGGGAAACAAATGTATTGATATTCACTCAGTAGGCATTCACCAACTATCTATCTCTGGTACTTACGTGATCCCCACGACTCTAATATCTGAGTGCCTCACAGTCTTTAATGACAAGTTTCGGAGTAGCAGCCGTGTTAGTCTGTATCCGCAAAAAAAAAAGGAGGACTTGTGGCACCTTAGAGACGAACAAATTTATTTGAGCATAAGCTTTTGTGAGCTACAGCGATGAAGTGAGCTGTAGCTCACAAAAGCTTATGCTGAAATAAATTTGTTAGTCTCTGAGGTGTCACAGTCTTTAATGTATTTATCCTCACAACACCACTGTGAGGTTGGGCAGTTATTATCTCCATTTCACAGATACGGAAGTGAGCCACAGAGAAGCTATGTCACATGCCATAGCAGGAAGTCTGTGGCAGATCAGGCACTTGGACCCACATTTCCCACGTAACAAGGAAGTACCCGAACCACTAGATCATACTTCATCTTTTCTCTCATCTGGGAAAAACTACTCTAGATTAGGGATCCAAAATGGCTTTCAGTAAAACCCTCTAGTATTACAATTATGCCATGAAAATTAAATCAGCGTATGTAATAAAATCTTTGTTACACAAGACAGACAATCTGGGCCTCTAGTTAATTAATTATCTGATGTATAAAATAGACAAGCTTCTGTTGTATGTAATAAAATCTTTCATATCAGACAGAAAAGTTGGTCCCCAGCAGAGGTGGTAACCTGATAAGTAATAAGCACAAGAAGGCCAAAAGGGAAAGTGGGTTAATTCACTGGTCTAGCAGTTCTGGAAAGCAGAGTTTAAATCTTGACTCGTGGGCAAAGTAATAATGAGTCTGCCGGTTGCATTGTTGTTGATTATTTTCATTACAGGAACCCCTGCAGGCCTCATTTGAGATGATGAGTTATGCTGGAGGTTGCACATACATTTAGTAAGTGACAGTCCCTGGCATTAAAGGCATACAGTCTAAATGGACAAGACAGACTAAGGGTATGAGAAAGGAAGCAATATTATCCCCATTTTACAGGTGATTAACTGAAGAGATTAAATGACTTGCCCAAGATGACAAAGGAATCCTGTAGCAGAGCCAGGAATTGAATGCATATCTCCTGAGTCCAGGTGTGTTGTGAAGCTAAATATGTTGTGGATGATTGTGAAGCACTCACAGCACAGTGTTGAGTGCTATAGAAAAGCCCATGAGGAAATTAATAACTTGGTAGCATTTTATGTCCGTTCTGGAATCCCTTTGCAGTGATATGAATGCTAACACACGGTGCAGGGCAGTGGAGAATCAGAGCCATCTGTGTTTATAGTTAGAATGGAAATGTTAGGAAGCAAAGATTTAGTGCATGAAATTTCCTCCTTGATAAAGAAATCTTTTCTTCCACTGTCTCATATCCTAGCTTCTGTCAGATAAAAGATGGAAACCAGAAAATGCCTCGCACTACATTTATCTCATCTGACACTACGGTCTTACGCCATTCACAAATTCAGTAGAGCTTCATTATTTCATGATATTCGTCATTAGCACTTGGAAAGGATGGACAAAAATATAATTTGGCACATTCCTGTATTAAAGAGCATTACTCACTTTCATGGCACTAGAATATTCTAGCTTTCTTTATGTCTGTAATCCAAAAGTCCCTGACACCAACCACAAACTTCTTCGTGCAGTTTCTCAAATAGGAAATCATCAGTGAATCTGGCTACGCTGGAATTAGAGCTATCATTTCCAGCTTGAGGAAATGTACCTAGGGCCTCAGACAGGACACATGCAGGGTGGACAGCCTATCCCACCACTTGCATTGCCACAGTGAGACTTCTGGTTGTAGCCCGCTGGCCCAATCAGAGCTAGCACAGGTAGGGCTACCCGAGCTGGGAATTACACCAATGTAGACATAGCCAATACTGTACATATTAAGATCTATACTGCACACTGACTTCAGTATAACCACGTCACTCCGGGGTGTGAAAAATCCACACCCCTGAGCAGCGTAGTTGTAGTGACCTGTAACCCCTGTTTAGACAGTGCTATGTCGCTGGGAAAGCTTCTCCTGCCCATAAAGCTACCGCCTCTCACGGAGGTGGAGTAACTAAGCTGACGGCTTAGAGCATCTTCATCAAAGCACTGCATCAGTGCAGCT